GCCCTCTATAGTTGCACACTTCTTTGCTGCAATACTTCAAACTCTGGAATACTGGCAATTTCTGCCAAACTGTTATCAGTTAAGGATGGCCATGAAGTTCCTGAGACTCTTAAACAACGAAATGCAGCATTGCAAATGGTGGTCCCAATCTTGACCCTGATAGATGTTAGTTCAGAATTACAACGAAATGAAAATCAGGAGCCCGCCTCCCTATGTTTAATGCTGCAACCTTCTTGGGATGCTTTGTTCAGTTACGTATTTCATGAAAAATATGAAGGCTCTTCTCTCCCTGCTACCATTAATTTTATATGTCTGCATCAGTTTCTTGATAAAAGTGTTATTAATTCCTAGAATTAAAAAAAATTTAAAACTGGAAGAGAAGTTACAAATAACCTGGTCAAATCCACTTGATTTAAAGATGTGAATAATAAGATGCCAAAAGACTGACATCAGCCATTTAATTCATACAAATATCATTTAATACATAGAATTTATACAGTAAGCATAAGTGTATTTTGTCTGTTTGACAAACTTTTTTGGTAAAAAAANAAAAAAAGTAATGTTATTAACAGCATGTACCAATACAGTGTTAGGTTATTAGTAGCTTATATAAATGATTTTAGTTTTATTTATTTATTTTGGCAGCTGGCCAGTATGGAGATACAAACCCTTGACTTTGGTGTTAAAATGATTTTAGTTTTAATTGTTGCTGCTATCATACTTTCTTAAACATTTTCTACCATATTTCTTTTCTTTATTCTAAACATGTCTTTGAGAAACTGAGTCAGGGCAAATTTAAATTCTCTGTACGCCCTTGATGCATCACTTTGGCTGGCAGTGTTACAAGAATGTTATTTGCTGCAGGTTAAAATAGCAAAGATACAATATGTTCAAACAAAAGAATCCTTTGTCATATACTTTCCACATACAACTGAAGGGCATGTTTCTACAGCGTTTTGATTTCAATCCTAAAGTGACTGTCCATGGGTTAGATTAGGTTGTAATATCATTACAACATATTAGCATATTACCAACATTGCCGATATATTACCAATATTAGTCAAGGGTAAGGACCATTTTCTTTGTCTCTGCATCCCTGTACTGCTTAGTACATAGCAGGCAGTCAACAAATGTTAGGTGAATGACAGAATGAGTGAATG